GTAAGTATCAAAAAGGAACATTCTCTGCGGCTACCCAACTCGCTAGTTATCCACCTTCGACTTCCGGCGATCTAGCCCTGAGGCCAATGTACAAAAGTTGCGACGGTGTATTATATTAGTCCAGTGCGGTGGTCAACCGGGAAACCTGAGTTTCACTTCGTGGATTATAGACCGCTCATCCATATTTGCCAATGCCTGCCCAAGTTTTGAGCGTCTAGGTACAAATATTTTTTACACATTCGACAACTGCAACATCAAGAGCCGGGGATTTCCGCGAATGCTTGATAAGTACAAGGCAGATGTGTGGATGATTGTTGCAGCGGTAGATTCTGCATGTTTTTGTAGTGACTAGATTTTCTTCTGTTTTCTTCTTTTTAGTTCAGTGGTTTTGCTGTTCATAATATCCAGAACTTTTATTTTGAGTAGTTAAGAAAGTCTTTTAAGAAAGTCTTAGAACGTCATAGAAACATGGAATAGTTGCATGGAAGCAGAGTGCAGAGGAAAATTTCAGAATTTCTATTGAAAACACTAAAATTCACCCGTATAAAAGAGGCAATCTCTGCTACTGGTTTTTTTATTAGTAAAGCATGGAAGCTGAATGATGTATCGGGTAGCAGGTTTTTAGAAAGTGAGAGATCTCACGCGTTTCCCGGCCTATGCAACCTATCCTTCTCACTTTTATTCTGCCTTTTCCTTTCTCACCTCGTATCGTATTTCTCTCAAAAATGAATTTCCATTTACACCTGACATTTCTGACAATTATATTTATCGCCCTCTGAAGGGTGCTCCATAAATATGGTAGCAAAGTAATCATGGCATAGAAATGCCATCTGAACTGGAACGTGATGAGTCTGTGCAGATATTTACAATGCTTCATCACAAAAGAACACTTGCGATGCCCTTGGATGTGGTTGATTCTGACACCATTCACAGCTCATAGCAGCTTCGAGTGCGGTTGAGCGGAGGCATGCAGGGGTGATTGAATATTGGGTTGTCTCATAATTCCTGTCTCAATTTCGACACTTTTGTTTATTCAAGTTTTATCTCTTCTAGGAAACAACTGATCAATAGCATAACCACCATCATGGTCACTGATATGCGTGCATTTGCTAGTGAGCGTTTGGAAGCTTCCAGCCCAGAATGAAGGAAGCTGGAAGGTTGAAGAATTTGGAAGGTCGTTTTTGGGGTGTCGTAATCTTTAACTTTCTTTTCTGTCCGGCATATGCTGATTCATGGCGCAAGGGAATCGATTGTCTTTAAGAGCGGTGCCAGTGCTATATGGTGGATGAGGTATGTGGTTTGGCCATATCCTCGAACATGGCGGTCAGCGATGGTAATGTCAGGGTCGAGGTTTTTTGGGAAAAAGGGATTGGGGTGAGACATTCTGGCCCACGATGAGACTCGTTGTTGAGGGAAACTAGTGGTTGGCTTAGAGTGGGAGGCGACGAACCACTAAACTTTTGATTTATACGTGAATTATACTCCTTCGTTCTTTCTGTATTCGCCCCAATGCTTGTCTTCATACATTGAAGTGGTTCCCAAAGCAGGCCACTAGCGAATCCAACAAAGCGAGGGCGATATTCTCAGAAAACGGAGTTCGGGCTTTGGTTGAGCTGGTGCTTCCTGGCTGCGAGGTGAGTCTCGAATTATATAGTTAATAAATAACTTTTAAAGAGTTTGGATCACTTAGTCTCGGAGAAGAGGCTATCGGACCCAGGCGTGCGGTGTTGGTTATTGTGGATCATGATGGATATCACTGGTGAAAGGTTAGGGAAAGACTCTGCTTATGCCGTCGCAGATGATTTTCCAGTTGGGTCAGGGTGCTTCCTCGTATGTCGGCCGGCCATATAGTCGCAGGGCAGACTGTCATTCTGAAGCCGTCTTTCCATACCGGATGAGTGTGCTCATGCTCGGCTGCGCCCAGGTATTGCTACATGTCTATGTAGCAGCGCATATGCATTTCCCATTTATGTGAAAGAGGCCTTCATCAAACAGTGTCGCAAGGCCGGTATTAGGCTGATGTATGTATTCAGCTTGCCATTTAGTTGGACACTAGTCGTACTTGTCGTGTAAAGATGAGAGCGTTATGTCTTTACCTGTCTCCCTGCAATTAGAGTTTATTTATGGGATGTAAGTATTATTCATTATAGTCACTGAAGTATTTTATTTATTTATTTATTTAATACACCTGAAAGGGTGTGCACACGATGGACAAACAGAGTTGTAAAGCTGAGCGATCCATGATACAAAAGTAAAAATAAAGAAAGAAGGAGAGAAAATTGGGCTAAAGTAACAATGAAAATAACCCTGAGATTATGGAATACTTCAGAAAATGGTGGCAGCATTGAGGTCCTACACTGTAGCCGGTAATAAGGCCGCACTCACCATCCGGAAGACCGAAAGGTCCCTGACGAGATCCTTGTCCCTCGTTCGGACGCTTTCGAGTCGAATAACGTACCGGGGCTTGCAACCAACTTAACCCATGACTAACGAATTAGTCTGGGACCCCAGGCGAACAACGAGGGGGGACCTCAAGTGAGGGGTCGATCAACTTTCAGGCTCACCGAGCGACTAGAGGCCACTTATCGGAACCTATAGGGCGCCAGGAAACCAAGATAAAAACGTAGAGCTAATATATCTTCTGAACAGGAAGTGGTGAATATAACACAAATAGTAAGAAACAGTATCACAAAGATGATAATGTGGAGATTCAGCTGAGTAGATGAGTAATGCAGTAATCATTCACAGTCTACGAGAAATTTGCCGCAGCGTGCTGTATTCCTGTAAAAAAAGCTAGCATTTCATTATACTGACCTATTTTTATTACTAGTTGATTAACCCGTTAAGGGCTTGCGCTTCCGAAACCACGCTGTTAAGGCACTTGAAGCATACTTCAACATACTAACGTATTTCGCAATGAAACGGTCTTAGACGGAAGGAATTTGAAATTGAATAGAAATGCGACAGGAATTATGAGACAACCCAATATTTTGGTCCATGCTTTGATCAATGATTTTTTTCTGGAGTGCATTCAATACGTAAGCTTTACTCTTCGAGGAAGATACACGGGGTTTATGTTTGACGAATATGTTTTCAATGAGACCCAGGGAAAAATTCGGGAAAATGGTGTTGCACAGGAGCATTGGGGTACCCGACAAGAGGCCCGTCGCGCGACAAAGAGGCAGAGTCAGCGGATGAGTCCCAGCGCCGTACTGTAGTGATTTTGGGTAGCCGACAGGAGGCTCGTCGCGGTTCCATTCCCCCATTTCACAACCTTTGGAGCAGTGTGTGGTAGGGTTAGATAGAGCTGGATTTGCTACTACCGGGCAATATTGAAATTGATCTAAAAGCTTTACACTCGAAGAGATAGGGTCTCTCAAATTTTGTCGAGGCAGCGTCGAGGATGCTGAATTTTTCATGCGAGTTTTTGCCACTTAAAAGGCAATATCTCTCTAATTTCGTAAGATCTTGAAAAAGAAGACAGTTTTGGAAAGCGGAAGGTTTGCGCTTTCTGACAGTCTGTTTAGCTTTCTTCTACATTTCCTAGTTGAGAGATATTTGCGTCGAGGATCTATCGAGGATGGATCTCGGCCACCTAAAAAGCCGCTCCTTCTTCACCATTGCAAGTTAATTTCGTTGGCAACGCTCGAAATGTGTCTAGAATAAATTCTCCCAACATAAGCAATAAGAAAAGGGCAATCGTCATCATCCGATTTTGTCTGGGTATAGGCCATGCACTCGAAGTTGCAGAATCGATTGGAAGGTGTTATATGATCATGACCAGTTGACAGAAGCTGCATTGTAGTAAACACATTTCGTAACTCCTACAACCTGAAGAACAACTTCATTTGCCCAGGGCTTTCCTTCACGGTTGTCGTTTTTGCGACAGGGTCCCTAACAACAGTGTCATTCTCAGCGAGGTATTGAAGGGAGAGCGGGCGATAGATAGAGGAAATGCCTTTGCAGCGCGTGTGCACATGTGACCCTGTTCCTTGCAAAGATGCACTTTCATTCTTTGTATACTTTCAAATACTTCCTTCTCGAAGGTAGAGAGACGGAGCGACTGAACCTGCAAAGGATATTTTATATCATTTTTCTCATATCCTTGTTTTCTGCTGCGCTACACCCTATCCCTCCTATCTGCACCACGATGCCACTGACGTTACTGACCCCCACGAGTACGACCCCCCATGACCCACCCTGACAAATACGACCCCCCTGTCGAGGATTTCCTCGACCGATATTCACTCCTGATTTTCACCCCGTGAATTCTTTCTGTAATTGTTGCTTTGAATCGTGTGGTCACACTATTATGTGTCAGCTGAGCCCAACAATGCTTAGAGCCGAATACCTATCGCATGTGCTAACACCGAGATCATACCTTTGACTTCTGGAAATTTACTAATGAATAATCTCCGTTCAAGATCCTTCCTGGTGCGAATGGTGTCGGATCCGAAATGCTACAATCCGAAAATCGTTCGTCATCTGAACATGGCAAACCACCGAAAGATGAGCCAAGACGTCTACCGCGATCGAACCCTTATGTAAGAACCACCTTTTTCCAGTAGTATGTTTGATTTATGCTTTCCCGCTCGACTTTAGGCAGACCATTTCCCACAGTCAACGTCCGGGTCGCCTTTCGCAATCACCGGGTTCTGGGGGAAGCGCTTGTGAGTAATGTACATTTGGATCATGACGATCAATGTCATTCAAACAAATAATAGTGATGTCGTTCAGCTTTTTCAACGAACTTTAACTTTGAAGAGGACGGTGAGAACGTGACCGTCGCCCTCTCTCAGACCGGTCTGCAAACACCGCTCTGATAATCACGTCGAAGTGTGAGGCCAAGGGCTCTCAAGAAGTGCAGTGTGTCTCATGTATTAACACCCATACTTATCCATCTTATCATAGAAAGCTTTTAAATTACTTCCCTAGTCGAGAATTTCACATCTGCGTAATTAACTAGTTCTTTCTGCATTTTATGATTATTGATCGCCGGACAGCTTACTTGTTGTCCATTAATTTATTCATGTTCAATTGTGCATCTTTTATCGGTTCTGTAGTTGATTGTAAATGTGAATGTTTTGTATAGTGCTAGTACCTTATTTAACATTTAACCCAAAATTCCAATAATGTCCTCCGGCAATTGTTCGTCAGTCGGAGTGACAAAGAGAGTAGCTGTTTATTGTCGACGTCGTTGAAGAAGTCGTTTGTATAAATGTTAAACTGCTGCATTTCATATGTCCCTGATTCACAGAAAATTGAGAAATGAGAAATTCAACAAAAATTGAGGTATTGAAAACATTAATTCGATATGTCTTGCTTCTGTTTAGCCTTCCAGGTTTGTTATGGTGGAACACTTTATTGGTCGACGTTTCGAACAAATCGTCGTTTTCAAGACCTAAAAATTGGTTCGAAGCTCTAGTTTGTAGCCTATCCGCTCACACCCCACTAGTCCCA